CTTCCAGTTTTTAATAATGCGTTGGACAGTTCTTAACCCAATTTTAGTAGTTTCTGCAATCTCCTTAGATGTTTTCTCTGCTTGATGCATGCCAATGATTTGACCCTTCTCAAACAGACTAACATCTTTTCCACGACCACGGGATGTGTCTTTCGACATGGTTGTTTAGGAAATGAGAAGCAACTCATTGCACCAGTTGGGGTTAAATAACTTGTTGCCAGCTGAAAGATAATCGCCCATGCAGTAATTATCCAATAGGAGGCTCGTACCTATTTGCTTAGTTAAATCCAGGTGGCGACTTTTTTTTTGGCCAGGCAGTGTATGTTAGATGGCTTTATGTGGCTGAAACCAACTGGTAAAGGTCTCTGTACTTAAAGCTGTGGGAAAAAAGATTCAAAGTTTGTCACAGATTCTCATCACATTTAAGGGGCTTTCCCTGCTCTCTGCACGTAACAAGTGGCACACTGGTGTGACCAAATGGACCACAGTGTGTTCCACCTGTAATCACATACCATCTTCAGCTGGTGTTAACAGCCATGCCAGCAGTTCTGTGAGACTGTAATGCTCATATTACACCAGACAACTGAATTGTGTGGTAGATACAACATGGAAAGACAACTTTGATATTGTTAGACTTTATTGTTCTCCAAAGTTGCAAATGAACCCGGTGAAACAAACTATTTTTTTTCTAACTCTCACGCCAGTTTTGTACAGACAATCATACTGAACATACATACAGTACATATATAACATACATAGTGTCAAAGGGGAGAATCCTATACATTAAAGGTCCAGTTTTATAAGATTTGGGGGGATTTAGTTGCATCTAGCAGCAAAAATTTCAGATTGCAACCAGCTGAAACTTCTCCTGGTTAAAATTCCTTCAGGAGGGTTTTACCAGGGACTGAATCATCCACCAAGGTCTCTTCCTCTCCTGGACCAGGTGATTGAAAGCAATAAAGCAAATCAGTTTTCCTCTACCCTGTTTCGGCTTGTTGCAGATGGCCCACTTGCCCAGCACTTGCAAATGTGTGCTCACCTTATTTCTGATCCAGACATTCAGAAGATTCTTACCATGAGCTGGCGGAGGTCTCGTTCTCGTAAAAACGAACGTGTCCAGTGATTTAAACCGGTACAAATACTGAATAAAGCAGTTTCACATTACAAATCAGTGTTTCTCCAGCACTGTCCAGCAAGTTAGAGATAGGCTGCTAATTAAGCACCTGCTAAAGCGAGTTCACCTTTTTTCTTTGAATAACTGAAGTTCCAGACATTCAGGAAGTTTTACTGGGAGCCAGATTATTCACAGAGGTCTCTTCCTCTCCAAGAGGAATGGACTCTGTTTTGCAGTCAGCCTCAAGTGGCCATTCTATGAACTGCAGTTTTTGGCATTTCGGCCTTGGAGGTTGCAGCTTGGGTGGAAATCTCCTTGGACCAAAACCCACTCCCTATGTAGATATAAATGGCTCATTCTAAGGTAACAAAAACACAACAATTCTTATTTTCAGGTGATTCTACACTAAAGAAAACATACTGAATTTCTGTCAATATGTCCCCCTAAATCCCACACACTGGATCTTTAATGGGCATTTGAACAATTTTAAAGTTCAGCTGTCTATGTTTGAGGTGTGCCATTACATACACCTGTCACTTATATAGGATGATGGTGTATTTGAGGAGAATCACTCCTAGCCATTCTTCCAAACCTTCTGATGCATCAAATGTTTCAGAAATAGGCAAAAGTCAGCCTCAGGTAAAGATTTTTGCAAAAATAGAGACGCACATCTTTCTATTGAATTAATGACCCGCTGTGACCCTTGTCTCTCTTCCCCTCTCTCCAGTCTACCTGTTCGTGGGTCTGATGATGATGTACCTCCTGCTGCGCACCTTCCACAAAATGGCTGACCTGCACGGCCTGACCACCTTCCTGCAGCTGCCGCGTTGTGAGGACTCAGACCAGGAAGAAGACAGGGAGCCCATTGTGGAGGAAAAATGTGAAGATCAAACGCCCCAATACCTGACAGAAAAAGAGTCCAGTAAGCCCCTGGAGCCAGGATCACAGCCCTCATACAACACCATCAACACAGGTTGACCTGTGGTGGTGGGGCTGGGGGCAGAGAAAAGAAAAGAGAAGCTCTACCTCTGGCACCCAGACTTTTGGGCTGAATCTGAATTCTTGTCTTAATTTTTCATTTTGTTCTCCTTAGTCTCCTTGTTACAAATGTGCAGAGGAGACCACAAACAATAATGAGGAAGTAAGATGAGTTTTAAGATTCAGCCAACGACTGCCAAACTGTTTGTGAGTGGTTACTAATACACACTGCTTTCTGCACATATGAAGGGACTATCCTGACTTGACTAGGGCAGCCCGCCTTGGCTAAATGATGTGATAACAGATGTTTTCCTCCTCAACACTGGTGTAACTGTGGTGTGTTCACCATGCACGCTTGGCTGCTGTGTCCACAGCCTCAGGATAGCACATGAAGGGCTACGGAGCAAGAACTTTTGATACATGGTTGGTTGTTTTCAGATCACTTTTGTCTTGCATGCATTTTTGTCACATTGCTTTTGTTGCCACAGGTTTAAGTTTTTAGTTTAGGAATTACAAATATGGTATTTAATTGTGGAGAATTTAAATATTGGTGGCAAACACAATCTTTGGATGCACTTGCCATTTCAGCTTTTATGAAAATCTATCATTGACCAGACCATCCAGTCATACTTAGAGCCAGGAATGGCCATTATCCACTTTTGCACCACTTGAATTCATCTTCATAAGAATGAATGATCACAACTGCGGTGAAATGACAAGTGAATCCATTACAACTTTAGATAACTCTCTCAAGTAAAGGTCACAATGGACTTACACTTAAGCATTTAAAACACTCAGGAATTTGACTGGGATGTGCTTTATGTTTCAGTCAGATTGTCTGTGTGAAAGTAGTGACTTTCTTGTGTCTGGGTCAGCCTTGACAACAACAGAAACCACAGATGAGCTCTGTGTTTGCCTCAGGACATGGGCTGTCCTCCTTTATGGTGCTGCCCCCTGGTGTCTACATGTGTGTAGCACAACATGTTACTTCACCTCCAAAGCAGTAATAAACAGGGTCAAAGGGTTGGACTAGAGGGATTGAGGAGGAGAAAAGAAATTGACTGTAAATTTAAAAAATTGTGTAATTTTGGTGAATGAAGAAGTGGTTAATTTCAATGGGAAACCAAATGTTACTTGTCAAATGCAACATGTTCTGTGTGATTTAAAGATCATGAACACATGCATGAAATGCACTTTAATGTTCACACCGGTTGTTGTTTATTTACTGTCAGAGTTGTAGTTTATAAATAGGTTAATTATATCCTGATACTGTAAAATAAGTTGACTCCGTCCATGTTGGTGGCTGTTGTTGTACTTTAATAATATCAGTTCAACGTGGATTCACATTGGACAAGAATAAATTGAAAATAAACTTTTGCCTGTATTATCATGTTTGTTTTTATAAGCATGTCCCGCTTGTCTTGATAGTTTGTACTGCAAACTAATCCAGCAAAAAATTAAATGTACATGTCTTGTGTAGTTTTGAAGTTCAGACATACCAATGTGTGAGTTTTACAATTAAAATTTGAAGTTGTCGGTACACAACACCCAGCAATAATGTTTTTCTCAAGGGTATGTGACCTGAGAGCAGAATACATACACTGGGTTAGTTTCTAATTTCCTTAAACTTCCAGTCAGTGTGTAGGATTTAGGGAGAGATATTGGCAGAAGTTAAATATAATAAGTATGTTTTCTTTTGTGTGTAATCACCTGAAAATCAGAATCATTGTGCTTATGTTACCTTAGAATGAGCCATTAATATCTATACAATGAATCATGGTCCTCATTCACTGACTCCACTATGTTGCACCATCAGGTTTCAGGTTTACAGTAGCCCAGAATAGACAAACCAAACACAGGGTCTAGTTAGGGCCATTTGGGTTTTCGCGTCGGCCACCAAAGTTCACAGCACCTCCACAATGAGCCTAACAGTGTTTGAATACACAGATTTTTAACATGACACTGCTTTATTCAGCGTTTTTACAGGTTTAAATCAGGGGTTCCATTTGTTTTGGAGAGGAAGAGACCTCTGCAGATAATTCGGCTCCCAGTTAAAATCTCCTTAACAATGAACACTGAAGGGGTCCAAACCAAAAGTTCACACATGACAGAAGTTTAAGCTGGTTGCAGTCTGCAGTCCTCACTGCTAGATGCTGCTAAATCCTACACACTGCTCCTTTGAGAAATTAAGTGTGTTATGAAGTGTATATCTGTCCCAAACCAAGTGTCTGAGAGCATTGAAATATGTTTTTCAGATTAACACAAAGACCATGAGACAAAGTGATTGCTCTCTCACTTACAGTGTGGACTGGCTGTGAGTGAAGCTGCCTACAAGTATCCACATTAAATTTCATCAGTTCTTGTCTATTATGGATCTGACTGGAATGAGAACTACTGTAGATTGTTTGTTTTGTTTAGATTTATGTAACCGATAACTCACTGACATCCTAAATGGTATTGGTGTGCTCAGCTCCACTTATGTATTATTGTTAGTAGATTTCTGAATCAGGTGTGATTGCAACACCAAAATGATCTAGAAGTCTTTAAGAAGTCTTTTATAGGGTAGTGGGTCAGACTGGAGGAGGAGAAGCTGAGTCAGAACTGAAACATTTGTGGTTGCAGACATTCAGTCTGTTACAAAATGCTCTTTCACTTATATGATTCTCTAAATATTGCAGCTGTTTTTCCAGGGTTGTTAATGAAGATATGGCATCAGATGACAGAGTTAAAGCAACAACAGTACTGTTTGGATTCAGTTTTCATCCAATTTTCCCCCGACCCACTTCAAAGACATGCTGTAAAATGTACTTTATGTATTATAATAACTATGTATCAGACTACATTCAGTCCTATGTGAGGCTTTTCAACTGAAAATTAAAATGATGTTCAACAAAAAAACACAGTATGATTTCATTTTCATATTTTATTAAAAATGTCAGTATAAACACACATTTGCCTTTTTTTAAGAGATACAGTGTCCAGGCATTCTGCCTTCAATTTAAAAACATAACCATTAAAATATATGTATAGAAAAAATAATGTAAATAAAATAACTGCCATGATGGTACATTAATATACCTTAAGTGAATCTTCAAATACAGTGTGACATTAAATTACTCATCTTGTCAACAAAACGTGCCATTTATAAATAAATTGAAACTGCAGCCCAACTATTTACAAAATGACCTTTGCATAGAAAGCAAGTACAAAAACCTGACCAACAGGCATCATGTGCTTCCTCAAACAAATTATCTCAGCATTTCACCTGTCACGCATTCCAGCAGTGTTGGCTTTAAATGCTGGATCAACATATATATATATATATATATATATATATATATAGCAGGTTAAGTTACAGTTAAAACACCTTTTCTTTAGCGTTCTTCTTCAAGATGTAGTAGCATGTACTAGTACTCCATTTTATGGGTTAAAAAAAATGGACAAATCTTACCTGTAATGTTACCATTGCGTAATAAATACAGAGTAAAACACAAACTCATGTGACTTAGAAATGCATAATATTAACAAAAGTGCAATCATTCAGATGTAAACCAGACAAAACATGAGGACCCCACTAAAACAAGCAGAAAGTGACCTACTGATGATTGAACAACTGTTCAGAGGGTGGAAATCAGCACCATTCGGACTACCATCAGCCAATGTGGCTCACGCAGTGTCTATATACCCGCCGGGAATGACTGATAATATCTGTACAACAGAAGCGGCTGCTTAGTGGTTGTGACTTTAACTATAGTGACAGACACCTACAGTGGCCATGGGGATGTGTTGGATACAATCACAGTACTGTAAAGGCTCTTTGAATAAAAACATCTATTAAAAGACGTTAAATACTCCTTCTGAGCTGCCAGGTAGCCGTTACAGAGCAACCACATCTGAGAGAAAACACTTCAGACAAAACAAACTTTAGTTTCACTCTTTTCTGCCCTCAGATGGGTCATGTCTTATCTGTCAGGTGGTTGAGAGGCATTAAGAGTTATGCATTTTTCCACTGAGTAATATTCAAGGATCGGGTTAACTGTCTTTCCTGCTGATGCAGGATAAACCAATAAAATGTACATGTACTGTACCTTTAAATACTGGTTACTGAAATGTAACTGATGATAAAGTGATGGATACAAAGAAGAACCACTCAGATAACCTTAAATTACACACACTTGATATTTCTTTTTTGCAACTGAACAAATGGTTGTCATGGATTTCTTCTGACTAGAAAGCAAATTTTCGCAGGTGTAGCTTTTGTTTGACATCCTGACCTGTAATTCATCTTGATACACACAAGGTTAAAGGATTTCTTCACGAGTTTGACCTATTATAGTAGTGTTTAAACCATTGTCCTTCAAACACCAGCCAAATCACTTCTCTCAGAACTCACATTCCCATTTAACACGTTATAGAGGGATTTATCCAATGTTAAATGAAAAAAATAAAATAAAAAGGTTTTCTTAAAGCTGTGATGTTTTTGGCAAATTTTTGGGCAATACTGCTTAAGTAATTTTCTTTCCACCGAGAGTGATTACCTGCTCACAACTTCTCATTTGCCTCTGTTTTCTAATCAGACACCTCCCTTCCCAAATTCCAGTTGGCTTAGTCACACTGGAAACTGTAGTAAAATGCTTTTCAGCAATTAATTCTGCACTGACTCATCGCTTAGCCATTAAGAAAAAAACATAGCCTTATCTGACTTATTATCCACTTAGTTTTCATCATGACTTGATCTCCTTTTTTGCCAGGGAAATGTCATCCCTTCATGTTGCACAAAAGTCTGCCAGATGCATCACAGCTACTCCTTATGCCAGCCCACCTATGGAGCATTTCCTGTCTTAGACATCAAATACCTTAAAAGGTCATCCACAGTTGGGTAACCACCTTCACATTCTCTGAGTCCAAGCATTCCCATGTCCCTCTCAAGCAAGGATGTGTTTATATCCTGGAACTGATCCTCCACAGTGAGATCACCAAGGTAGCTTAACCCCATCACCTCCAAGCTGCTGTCCAATGCACTCCATTCTTCCTGCACCTCCCAGCTTCCCCCACAACCTTTCACTCCCTGTTTCGCCCATGCCTCACCTCCCTCACAGGCCCCTGACAGGTTCTCCAAGGACCTGAGAGGTGTCCGTGGAGCTGCCTGTGGGCTCCCGTCAATTGCAGAGTCCAGTGCAGTGAGAATGGAGGAGATGGCAGAAGAGAGGGAGAAATTAGAATCCATGGACATGGATCCCCAGTCTTCATCTTCATCTTTTACAGACAGAGTGACATTTGCCGGAGACCTACTTGCAGCACAATTTGACAAGTTATTTAAAGAGACCAGAGGGCAGCTGTCAAGAGCTGAGTGGCTGTTAGCACACATGGCTGTAGAGTTATGTTTTGCTGCAGTGAAAACACTCTCCTGGAGTTCAGATGAAGAGCTACAAGGTGGCTGTGACACCTCCATGGCTACAGATGGCACCCTACAACCATCCAGGCTGACCGACCGCAGTGTGCTGCATATCAGAACGGACCTCCGCAGGCTGGGGTCACGAAGCTGCAGGCCATGCTGATATTTGTGCAGGGAAACTGTGAGCACAAACTGGCGCTGGCTCTCCCAGGTTGAGCTACTCCTGTCGGAAACCTCCACGTCCTCTGGTAGGTGTTTACGCTTCTGCCCCTTCTTGACCATCTTTAAACTGCAGGGAAGGGAAAAACCGTTAAGTTGACTTGTACTGCTGCTAAGGTCACTGGTTAACATTTAGTAGATGATCAGTTTCTCTGGGTCCTTAGTAAAGTAAAGAGGGTTTTTTGAAATTCAAAAACCCTTACTACAAAATAATAAAAAATCAAAATGCTGTTGAGATAAGCAACACATACATTTCATAATGTCTGAGTTGAATCATGAAATAATCAAGCAATCGCTCAATAGTAATCAATGAAAATGTTATGTAGTACAAATAAATATTGAGGCTTCTCAAGAATGAGGTGGATTTGCTTGCTTTTCTGTTTATGATTACATTTATCAAGTTTTTTTGTTGTTGTTTTGTAGTTTTGTTATTTCTATTCTAACAAGGCATGACTTTGAGCTTTGACAACCTGTGGTAAATATTTGTCATGTTTTAATCTCATGGCCTCTAATCAGTGAAAAAAAACCCCTGAAAGTTGCAGCCATAGACTGAGACAGGCAACTCTATCCTAGAAATTACGTTTGCATATTACTATATGATTTCTCAATTACGTTGTTGTGGCATTGTTCATATTAGTTGTATACTAATACAACTATAATATAAACGTAATTTCTAGGAGAAAGGGCTGAGACAGATAGTTAAGGGAGCAGTAAACATGTTAAAAGGTAAACACCTTGTGGTTATACATGAACAAATGCTTTAAATAAATAAGATGCAACCTTCAGTGTGTTTAACTGGATTTACTGTTTTGTGTTTAACATAATTCAAATTTGGCAGAATGAAAAAGCAAATAATTGTGTTTAGCTATGAGGTAATTTAGTTTGAATATCTGTTGAAAATACGAATTTGATACCTTCAAATTAAATAACCAGTGAGTGATTTTGTTCATCGAAGTTTTCTATTTGTATTTATCGTTAGCTAAATACAAAGTAGTAATAATATACCGTCAACTTAAATGGGGGTTTAGGTTGTGACGTCAACATTAGCTTCATCGTGCAACATTAGGAGGGAAACAGAAACCTAAAGTTACTCGGCCGAGGCCGTTTAATAACTTGAACCGTAGATGAACTGACTTAACTTATCGATTAACGAGACGAAAGCGATTAACGTAGTTGAACAAATAATGAGTTCAACGTATAACAATTCAAAAGTAAAGTATCTTAAAACGAACAGACCTGTTGAATCACTTCCCGTCTCTCCTCAGCAAGTTTAGTCGACACCGTTAAGTTACTGTTGGTTAATATGTCGTAATCCTTCCTCCACAGTGGCGCCCAAAACATGTAAAGTTTTCCTCAACGAATTCGGAAATAACTCGGCGATTTTAAACAAGTTAAAACTCTGTGTTTCAAACGCTACAACTTTGTTAGCCGACTGACTAAGTTATCTCCCGCCCGTGATTTGAGTTTCTCGTCGCTAAGGTTTACAGTTGGGGGGCAAGATGTGTCGAAAGGCATTATGGGTAATGTAGTTCATGTACGTTAACTACAATAAGAATAATTTGACGTTACAAAACGCTTTAAACTATTAATATGGCACGTTTGATAACCATATCATACTTCATATTATATGTTGATGTGTAAAATCACACCTATCCTGCTTACTCCGGCCGAACCGGATTGTCAGGCTTGTTATTATGTAATTTGCATAGCACTAATTCCTAAATGATTACATCACCGACAGAAAAGAGATTCCCATCCGCGTGTATTGCCTTTTAAGAACGGCAATGTATGTGTATTACACTAACAATAACCGAATGGTAGTTCTGGTCAACACGTCTTATTATTTTATGTTTAAGTTAATTACTGCAAGAACATAGAAAACTTCTGAGATGGTATTAGCCGACAGACGCCCGGTCATAAATGGTAACAGTCAGAGAGCGTTACAACCGTGCATATTTCACTGACTATTTCTATACGAATAAAGACAACGCAAAAAAAAATAAAAAATAAAAAAATACATGTAAACGTGGATTCTGCAGATGTACACGTACTCAGGAAAAGCCGTTTTAACTGTAATAACAGTGACAGTTGTCCAAATCACTCTTTTTGAGACAAAGTCATTCAGGCTTACCTGAGAGCAACACGCGTGAGGGAGGAAACCGGTCAATAGTCACAACTTTTATGGAGATGAACTATCAACATTTCAAAGTTTACAATTTGGCTTTAAATTCCACTCCTCGACTTCACACCACATGAAGGACCAGCGAGGCAACTTTAAAAAACAACTTTAACTCCACCTCGGTCTGTGTATTGGACGGCAGAGAAATACATGAAGTTACCAGATCATAAAACAGTTTCCTGTAGTCTCTGTCGAAATAAAAACCCAAATTTGACATCATCCTTTAGAAAAGGCAACATAATATATCTTACATGCTATTCTATTGGCTACTATTATATCTATATTAAGTTATGCTGTCTTACTACATTATATACCATATTATATGTCTATTATTTTGCTATATTTATAAAGTCAACACTAAGTATTAGGCTACTTGTGTACACGAGGCTAGCCGACTTGCTGCTGTTAACCACACCATTGTCACTTTACCTTGTGATTTTGTCTATAATTGCTCTTAGATAGTTTCTATTTTCTCCCTCTCTTATTCTAGTCATATACCTATTTATTATTATTATTATTATTACTATTATTATTATTATTATCATTATCATTGTTGTTGTTATTTTTTTTTTTACTTTAATGTCTGTCTTTGATCTGTTGCAACACCTGACTGAATTTACCCTGTGGGGATTAATAATGCTTATCTTATTTTATCTTATCTTATCATGTCTTATCTTATGTATTATAATATAATTTCTCCTCTTTGTTTATTTGTGCTGGAGGCCTCAAGTTTTCACTCAAGTTAAGTTATTGTTTAAATTGCATATTGGACCACCACTGGCCTCCAAACTAGTTGCAATGTCAACAGTCCTGCTGTTTCATACACACCTTAAACTCAGATTTAGATCATAGCGCACAGATAACCTTTCCCCCTTCAGCAGATGAATGTAGATATTTAAAGGGCTTATCCTAAGGTAACAAAAACACATTGGTTCTCAGTTTCAGGTGGTTATAAACTCATGAAAACATAGTTATGAACATTATATTCCATTTCTGCCAATATATTCACTTAAATCCTACATACTGGACCTTTTTCTTAATTAAAAAAAAAAGGCCCGGTTTTATTTTGAAGGAATTATAGGTTTCCGGGATACTGCCTGCCCTTGGTCTTTGACACATATTTTTCTTTAGAGGGAGTTGCACAACAGTTACACATGCCACTGGTCTGACTGACTGGTTGTCCTTTAAAAAAGGATACAGTCACGTGAGGTGAACTGTGGAACCGAAGACAGACTAAAGGAATGGTCCAAAATTTTTCATGCCAATATCCAACCCATTTATCCCAAAAGAGAGAAAAAAACCCACCAAAACACAACAGAAAAGACTCATATTTAATAACACTAATGTAACACAGTTAGGTAATTATAATTAATGTATTATAGTATTGTATATATTGTATTATACTGTTAATGGTCACTAAATCCCTATCCAATAGCATTTCATCGAGTTTGTTTAATTTATCTATTCCACAAGAACTAACAAAGTACAGGTACTCCAATTAAAGGAGCAGTGTGTATGATTCAGTAGCATCTAGCAGTGACAACTGCAGATTGCAACCAGCTGAAACCTGAAACCTCTCCTGTGTGCAAAGCATGGACTCCGGGTTGGGTTCATTGTTCAGGAGCTTTTTACTGGGAGCCTGTCTGCAGAGTTCTCTTCCTCTCCAAAACAAATGGACTAAGTGATCAAAGCCAGTTCTTGTGTCTTAATCTACAAATCAATCTAGCTCTTATTTGATCAGGAGGAGGATATTTTAACTAATATTCATGGTAACTGAGTACACCATCCACCTCGGACTTACTCTATTACTCTGGTTTTCTTTTGTTGTGTTGTAAAGTGTAATGTAAATTACATAGATGATAGGAGATTAGTGTACAGTTTCCTATTACTGTTGTTTTGTCACTCTAGTAACAAGCAGCCTGCAGCTCTCCTCATTCACATGACACGTCACTCTGTCAGCACAACCTTTTGCACAATAAAGTCATTTATTTTTAACAGCTATAAAAAGGATCTGCTGTACACCAGAGCAGCAGCAGGGGGCATCAACAAAGACATGTTCACTGATAGGAAACGAATCATTCAATATGTAAAAATTGTTAATGTATAAAGACATTTTCTAATGTAAAGCAATGTGAACAGCTACAGCTGAAGCAGCAGTACAGATTCAGCACTCAGTTGCAGCTGATAATAAAATCGAAATTAGTATAAAAATATAAAATGCCAAGCAAAAGCTGCCCGGTAGTGATTATAAAGGTTAACACAGGGAAGCATCCTTGTTTATGACAACACACTCGCAGTTTGAATCATTAGTTCTTTATTAACTCAAAATCTCAGCATAAAAAAAAATAAAAATTCTCCTGAGTGTGATTTGGTAGATATTATGAATGGCAATCAGTGACAGGAAGAGATTTAAACCCCCTCGCTGTCCAGAGGGCATCAGTGATGTGTTGTCCAGGACTATTTATACTCTCCCCACACTCCTACAGTCTTGCCATCCCACTCTGATGTGGACAGACACTTGACGAAGAAGTGTCCCAGGTCGTGTTTGGAGATGGCTCTTCCTTTTAGCATGTTCTCCGTCGCCATGTATTTCTCTGTCAGAGGAAGGTCGTCTAGAGGGCGCAAGACAGAAACAAGAAAAAAGAAATCACATAAAATATGACAAAACACACAAATGCTTTTATAATCTGAAGTTTTGCATGCAAGTAAAAAAACCATTTTTTTTGACTGTGTAGCCTAAAGGTTTTTGCCAGTGCTGTGAAGATTAGTTTGACTTTGCATAATCAACTTATTGCATTATTGTTATGTCTGAACTTTGCTTTGGGTGCAAATTCCTACAAAAAATGTCTTATCTTACAGAGTCTCAGATCAATTCTTTAAAAAAAAATCTAAATTAAAAGGTCCAGTCAGTGCATCCACTGTACTTCTCCTACACACTTAGCACATGAGAGAAGTTTCGATTCTGCAACCTCACCGCTAGATGCCACAAAATCCTACATGCTGGACCTTTAAACCATCATAACTGTTTAGATAATAGAGAGCAGCTTAGAATCCATTATCTACCAACACATTTCATCAGATTGACTAACTGTAGCACTTTTATGCCGGTAACAAGTTTGGAAAGTTTTCATCCATTTTTGTTTGGAATAAAGCTCCTAGTTTCTACTTCCTACTGACTATCAATGTGAGGAGGCATGACGGCCACGTAGTCCAGCCCCGATGTTTTCAGCACTGTGTACATTCTGTCATGGTCCTCTGTCACAGGAACCAGACGGGGTGGGACTTTGGAGCGATCCCACAACAGGAAGGCTGGGAAGGATAAGGATAAAGATGTTGATCAGATGCTTAAACAGGACTCAACAAAATATATTTCAAGGTACTTTTCTTTTACCCACTTTGACCACCTCACCCGCTCTGTTATAATTTTTTATCAACAATGAGTTGTACCTGACATGCAGCCGATCACTTTGCTGATCCCACGAGCCTTCATGGCTTCAATAATGTTCTTGGTGCCTTCAGACATCATGGTGGTCGGGCCTGATGAGCAAAGATCAGATCACAGAATCAAACTGGAGGTGCAGAGTAACTAAATAATCAGAACTGTACTGGATTATAGTTTCAGACACTGGCACTTTCCACTGGGTATCAAATTTGAACTACTGTATTTCAGAGAGCTACTCTATTACACAGTTAAGTTTATACAAGAAAACATAACACTAAAAACTTTAAATGTTTTCATTTTTAGTAAATGGGGTATTTAGAAGACCAACATTTAACCCTATCTTTTATCTATGATGTCTGCATGTTGTTTTGTGTGTAGGTTGATTTATCTACAATTAATCCTTTGAGTTGGCCTGGAGAAATCCATGCACATCTACTGTCATATTGTAAATCCCATCCACCTTTTTATATACTGTGTGTTTCAGATTCTTTGGCGACCTCTAGTGAATATCTTACATTATTACACTATTAAAAAGTACAATCCTCCTTATGTAAGGTGACCAAAGTCAGTTATGCAAAGAAATTTGACCTTTAGCAATAAACGTAAAGAAATATCGTGCAGAGGCTTATTGGTGTGAATATGTGAGAAGAGCCCAAAGCAACAACAGTTAGAGAAATGCTGCAAATTTAGGTCACCAAAATTCAAAACAAATGGAAAAATCCAAAGCTTATATGAAAATCAAAGAACTCAAAAATGCAAAGAGCACAGCATCAGGAAATGTGCAACAACGTGTGAAGAAAGAAAGAAAGAAAAATGTAAAAAGTGTTAGTTTTGCATTTAGTTTTCTTTTCTTATAATGTCAGCTTGGTTGTGTGTCTCAAAGTATTCAAAGTGTGGAGCCTTACTGAGGTCATTCCTGGTGCCCAGGATGATGATAACTGCGTCCTGGCCTTCCATGGTGTTCTTCACATCCTCTTTATTAAGTACGTCTCCCACCACCACTCTGGACGCCTTGTGGTCAGCAGGCAGTTTAGCAGGGTCCCGCACCAGCAGCGTTACATTGTATCCTGAGGGAGGAAGCATGGAAGTGAAACAGGGATGCAGTAGAAACACACACTCGCACCATCATCACTTTGATACTCCTATGCATTAAATCATTGTCCTAATCTGTTAACACATTTCCTAAACTCATATTTCTCCCTCACATGTTGCAGGATCTTATGACATTTTCCATCAAGGTCATGAAAGACAAGGGGAAGAAGTAAGAGAATGAGAATCACTTTTATTCAGTTTTAGGGATTAGTGACACTATGACAACTGAACATTTCACCTGCTTGATAACATACTTATACTGTTAGTCATATTGGTTATTGTGCAGTAATTGTTGCATGTGTTCTAAAATTTACTGAAGCTGATATTACATTTCAACAGATGACATGATTTCACCGTCTTCAAAGTGGAGCCAGAACAAAAGAGTCTCTTCCTGAAGCTCCCATGATAACTTCACCCACTACATGAAGGTGATCCCGCCCTCTCTGTCTAGGCAAGATAGTGAACAGCTTCTACTATCAGCTCTCAGCCTGATATGACTCAGCATAATGATAAACTGTAACGTCTGTCATGACTTAACAGTCTTTTTTGCTACATGGTGAGGAGGGAGAGAGGAAGTGAAAATGCTGCTAAATCAAAATCATCATATAAAATATTGCATTTGCTAAAATCTTCAAAACTGTCATTAGAGTGAGACTGGTGGATTTTGATAGAATCAGTTATCGCCATAGTTTCCAGCAAATAACTTCATATGATGATATGTTTTACTGAGGACTTCCAAAAGACAAGGAAAGTTTGAGGAAAAAAATCGTAAAGTGGAGTTTATGACTAAACTCAAACATGAGATAAAACTATAGGCTAAGCACAATCCTTTCTAGTCTAATATCACATTATTGATACTTTATTGATTAACTGACCAATTCTAAATCCATAGCAGAAGTAGATGTGGACTACTTGACACTGTGAAGCCCAACAGGTTTTTTTTTTATGAATCATTTCTGTTATCATCAATCTCGTGATGTAAAGCTATTGACTAATACTGCAGACTCAGTAAATCCAGGACCATCACACTATAAACCAAGGCTGACAGATAGCCTACAGGCTGGAGGGTGAGAACTTTGACCACAACAGACAACACTTCTTTTCTCTGTGGTGCAAACTCTTATTGTGTACAACTTTAATGTAAAATTACTAAAGGGACCTACTGGGACCCATGAATGACCCCAGTATGTCCCTCTATTCTCTCCTATTGTGTTGTGTTCTACTCTCAGTCCTCACCTGCAGCCACTGCTTGCGGAAGGGTCGCCAGTCCGGTCATTCCCGTGGCTCCAAATATCGCGACGTTTTTGATGCACTCCGACATTATTCCTAGTAAGCGAGTTCCAATACACAGCAACAACTTGACGCTCAAACAAACTGTGTCCGATAAAGCTGAGGGCACTTTCACTCATGAAGTCACATTGACATAACATATCAAGTATGTAGAAACGCCTCTCTTATGTGACAGCAGCAGAAGCGCTTCCGCAGCTCAGACTCCTCCTCTCACAGGGAGAGTTAAAGGAGCCTTGCTGCTCACAGACTGCTGTTCACCTACTGTTCATATTACTCCTCACCAGTGGTGGAAAAAAGTACTCAGATCTTTTACTTAAGTAAAAGTAGCTATAGCACAATTTAAAGACTGTCTTTCGAGGGCAAACCTACGGATCCAAATGCAATGATTACATTCATTCGAATGCATTAATTACATACTAGTGCAATAATAAAAAAAATTCTGGAGCAATAAATTCTGTTATTCTTGTGCAATAATCACATTTATTCTCGTGCAATATGTACATTTATTGTAGTGCAATAACATTTACATTTACTCTCATTAAATACTGTTATTATATTTTGATAAATACATTTATTGTAATGCAATAATCACATTTATTTTTAGGCAATGAATACTCTTCTTTATTGCAATATTTTGATCTATTAGAACAATAATTACATTTGCTAAAGTGCAATAAATACTCTTTTTCTAGTGCAATATTACATTTACTCTTGGTCAATAAATACTCTTATTTATTGCAATAATCACATTTGTTATAGTGCCATTATTACATTCATTCCAGTGCAATAATTACATTTAATCTAGTTCAATAAATACTCGGGTTGTAGTGTAAAATTTTATTTATTTCTGTTTTTATAAATTTTACTTTTTACTTGTTACTTTGGAACCTGTGTGTTGTCGACTGAGGATGTTTGCTAAAGTTGTTTTGTTTTGTGGTGTTTGCCTGTTTCTTTTTATTGCATTGATCAGGAGAGGTGATATTTTGTTGTACAGTGTACAATGACAACAAAGGCTTCCTATTAAAAAATGCTCTATTACAAGTGAAAGTCCTGCATTCAAATTCTTACTTAAATAAGCTAAATGAGTATTGGCATCAAAAGTAGCCCACTCATTAATGTGCCTTTTCAGAATAATGTATATTATTTTCTTTTAGTAATCTGAACTAGCAAGTCGTTACTAGTAACTAATGTTAAATAAATGTAGGGGAGTCAAATGTTCAATGTTTTCTTTCTTAATATAGTGGAGTAGAAGTTGGCCTATACAGTAGAACAAAATGGAAATACTAAAATAAAGTACAAGTACCTGAAAATTGTACTTAAGTACAGTACTTTAGTAAATGTAGGCCTACTTTCACCATCACCCCTGGGTTGACTTTGTTGATTTCTACCAGCCTCGGTATTCCTTGAAAGTCTTTGAAGGTTTGTGACTCAAATCGGGTTTGAAAAGTCAGTCATGTATTTCATCAAAATTTGAGATTAATGTCTTTTTTTAAAGAAATTTGGATTTAAGCCTTTAGTCTAAGGCATCTAAATCATAAATACTGCAAAGAAACCGTGATAAGCGAGGACTGAAACTGGGAATATTCTTGTATTTGTCTGGGTCTCATGTGACTGCTATATGTTAAAGGCTATGTGATGATTGATTGGTGGGACTATGGCAGAGGGCTCCACAGCAGCAAATATGGAGAAAAGGTCAAACATATTCACAAGTTTTGCTTGTAAAATGGTGAATACACAAAAGGCTGACCTGCTTTTATGCTTTTTCATTTTTAAAACATCTCCCCAGGGCTTCCAAAACAGACTCACTTTGAGAGTGAAGTCAAGTGCACTTACCTCTTCTTTTTGCCTTTGTACACTTGAATTAGGCTGTGAGGTCCCTGTTGTTTCTGGTAAAAGTTTTATTAGATTTTCATCAAAATGCCTTGCTTTATTGTTTTTCCAAATAAATTACATTCATCTCATTAAATTCTTCTGTGTTTGTTTGAATTGTTCGAGATTGACAACCTATTTTCAGCCACAATTGTTAAAATTTCTTCTTTATTTTTATTCTCATTTTTTTTAATGAGCTTTGAAATATTAATTCAAAAATGGTTGTAAGATTAACTGGCAGGTCAAAAGCAATGCTGCACGGAGTCAGAAGCCATTATGTGTCAGAAATTTTGGGGTGGCTGATCAAATTCCCTGGTCACCTTGTTGGAACTCAATGCAAGACACTGAACCACAAATTCCTTTGATCCAAGCAGGCTATTAAAATATAAGCCACTGTGGACACATATCTGCCATAGGCATGTGTAATGCTATGCAATACAGCATGTTTTTTGTATTATATTATTATCTCCTGCACATTTTTAATGTGATCATCAGTAAAAGAAAGTTTCAAAGGTTAAAGCAGGATTCTAAAAAAATGTATCAGACATTGGCTAGAGTTTAATGTACAATTGCCCTTATATTGTTTTGGGATTCTGCCTGTTTGGAGGCCTGTGTGTGTGTGTGTGTGTGTGTGTGTGTGTGTGTGTGTGTGTGTGTGTGTGTGTGTTGTTGTTGTCTTTAACCCAAAAAAGTGATGTGCACTCTAAATAAACTTCAAAGTTCAGTTGCATGTGCTTTTCTTGGTATTTGGGGGTTTCAGCATGTTTACATTATGCAGTTAGTTATTAATGGTGGTAATTGGCCTTTTAAGTTTGACTACATTTTGGTCAACAAAATACATAAATAAATAAATGACTCAGGAACACCATTTGGGCCTAAGTGTTGGGAAATCTGTAATCTAATCAGGGCTGGTTCTTGGCATAAGGAAGGGGGTCAATGTGCTTCCAAATGCTTTGCCTGTCCCAGTAAAGCCAGACACAGGCATCTTTAGTGCTGAATGATTCTCCACTTTGAGCGGTTAATTGCCAAAAAAGAAAAGTACAGTATTGTAATTTTGTATCTTTAGTGAATGGAGTGGAGGCAAGAAGAGACCAATCAGAGAGTGATTAGAGGAAAATGCGTGGAGATACTCCTGTCTTATTGGCTGACAGGTCAGTCAGTTCTTAGGCTGCAAGCCGGTACTGCAGCACAGCGGGACAAACTGGAAAAATGTTTGTTTTTATACAAAGAAAGGAAGACCTTAATGTGTTACATTTGCCAAATTTAAAAGGGGGACAAATAATTGAGGATTTTTCATAGACAGCGTTTCAGAATGTTTATAAAGTTTCCCCTGGCCCAACAACTCATAAAAATTCAGCGATTTTTTTTAAATGGGGGTTTGGTACTTTCTTCCTGGGCGACAAAGGAGTGTGCAGTTACTTCACTTTTTAGATCTGAACATGTTGAAATCAACTAACATCCTCTGTCAGGAGTCACATTGCATAATGTTGAGGTGTGGATCCAGAACGAACTAAAACGGTAACGACTGTCATTTTACTATAGGTGAAAACTCTGCATGAACTGACTTTCTTCTTACAGTCACAGCGGAGAGAGCGTGAGGGAGGGACAGACAGGCAGATGCAGATGATGGAGAGGTGAACAGTGCACACATTACACTGCATGAACTTTGTCTGAAAATTGTGTGTGAGTGAAAGAAACCCTATTTAATATTCCCATAAACTACTGTGGTAAAAGAAGAAAACCTACACAAATATTTTAGCCTACATAAGTAAAATTAGCAAAAGTGTAGAAATATGCTGTTGCAAGTGAAAGTCCTACATTAGCATTAGCATTAGCATCACATATATAAAGAAGGCCTACCAAAAGTAAAATAACTTATTTCCAAAATGGCCCATTTCAGAATAAAAGTTATCATATGTAGTCTATTAGAATTATTGATGCAGTAATGTGTCCATTACTTTAATGTTGCTGCTGGTAAAGGTGTTCAATGTGGCCCTCTCCACCACAGTTCTAAGCAGGAGACTGGACCCACTAAGAACTGTGGTGGAGAGGGCCACATTGAACAAACTGAAAGCTGTAATGGACAATAGTAGACACCTTCTCCACAGCCTCCTGGAGCGACAGAGGAGCAGCTGCAGCAGTCGGCTCATCTCACTGCATTGCAGAACAGAGTGTTTCAGGAGATCCATCGTCCCCACGGCCGTAAGACTGTTTAACACCTCCTGAATCCAGTCACACACACACTTTATTTTATCTTAATTTAATTTCTATTTGTGCACTTATTTTGATGTATTTTATTTTGTTTTTTGTTGTCTTTTATGAGCTGCTGGACAACTGAATTTCCCCTCTGGGATAAATAAAGTTCTTTCTTTCTATTCTATTATAGTATTTGCGTAAATGTACTTAGTAACATTCCACCACTGTTGACATAAATTAATGATAAATTAATGTTTAATGATAGCAGTTGCGATTCTCTTTCTACTCAAAACTCACACTAACAGCTATTTATGTTTTAACGTCACAATTCACAATCAACCTGAAAGGTAGCCTCAATGAAACTTTTTAAGGTACACGATCCAGTTTTCAAATGATTAAGACATATAAATTTAGTGCATAAAAAAAGCATAGAAATAGTGCTTGTTAATCAAAACTTCTCTCAGGGAGCATCCCCCTAACAGCAGTCTGGGCTAAGCCTTGGATGGCTTTAACCCCCCAGAAAATAACGCTTGGGATAAAAACATAAAAGAGTGTGTATTATAGTTTACAGTCCCAAAGAACACTTAAATTAACACTAGTCTTTGGTAACCAACCAATATATCTTACTGCCCCCTATTCAAAGTAGTCTCGTACCAGGCCTGAGCCTAATGTTTTATTTCAAGGACCAATAATTTCCTAGAGGGAACTTTGTATCATGATCTCAGTAGCCAAGAGTAGTAATCACTATATGGGTGAGCCTGCATATTAGCACCTGTGCTAAAAACCATATGCATACCAGTAATTGGGTGGAAACACGTGACTACAAGTGTTTGATTGGCTTGAAGCCCCGCCCCGCCCCGCCCCGCCCCCTTCTTCTTCGTGGAACAAAATCTTGGAAGATGATACTTCAAAATTCCAGTTAAGGTAAATGGCTCCCAATTAATCAGTTACTGTAGTTAGTTATTAGTCAGTTATTACTTAGTTATTAGTCAGTTATTACTATAACAATGCTTTAACGACCATGCCTAAGCAGGTACCTCAAACGTATTTCATAAGACAAACTACTTTAAACTTCGGTAGTAGGCTAACGTTTTAGCT